GCAAGACCTTACACTTGTCCTTGTTAAACTTCATCAGGTTCTTGTTAGCCCACTCTTCCAGCCTATCCAGATCTTCCTGCAGGGTGGCTCTCCCTTCCAGAGTGACTACTTCCCCACTCAGTTTGGTGTCATCTGCAAACTTCATCAGGCTACGCTTGATCCTGTTATCCAGATCACTTATGAAGATACTGAATAGCGTTGGGCCCAGTATCGATCCTTGGGGGACCCAACTTGTGATGGGTTGCCAGTTTGAAAAAGAGCTATTTACCACCACCCTTTGGGTGTGGCCCGTCAGCCAATTCCTCACCCACTGCACAGACCACTTGTCCAGGCCATAATGCATCAGTTTCTCCAGGAGGAGGCCATGGGGAACTGTGTCGAAAGCCTTGGAGATGTCCAAGTAGACAATGTAGACAATGTCTACTTGGGCCATATTACTCTGGCCGTATTGCTTAGGCCGTATCATATGCTTGGCACTACCCTGGTGCTGCAGGATGAACTCATGCCCATTGACAGAGCTGTGTCCTTTTGCCACAGGTATCTGTGCAAACCAGCAATGCAGCCCAGGTGCTTGTGCCTCTCTGCAATTCCTAAAATTGCAGTCCTTAGCTTTCTTCCAGATTTTCCACATTTATCCTAAAAGACAAGACTTATCAATGGTCCTATGATAGGCAAATTCTTGCTGCACTGGTGTGCCCTGGGTGATCAAAGGTGAGGGGCCAGCTCTTTTCTGTCCCAGTTGTCCCAGCCTGGCCCCAGGGAGAAAAGACATCCCCCTCCACTTTCTAGGCTGAACAGCCCCCAGCCTTGGATGGGCCAAGTCAGGCTTTGTGCTGGGCACTGGCAGTCAGGCAGAGCTGCTCCCTGCCTGCCCTGCACCCTCCCCAGGGCACAGCCTGTCTTGCTGCTCTCCACCACTCCTCCACCTCCCTGGGGACCAGCTGCTTGGGAATCAGCAGTTGGATTTACTCAGGTCATCCTAAAGCAAAATAAGGGGCGGGGGGAGAAAAAAGAAAAAAGAAGAAAAAGAAAAAAGCAAGCAAAAAAGAGACATCAAGGGGAACTAAAGCCAGACAAGACTTATCAATGGTCCTGTGATAGGCAAATTCTTGCTGCACTGGTGTGCCCTGGGTGGTCAAAGGTGAGGGGCCAGCTCTTTTCTGTCCCAGTTGTCCCAGCCTGGCCCCAGGGAGAAAAGAGGTGAAGAGGAGGGGCCTGCTGGGGATGGGGAGCTGCCCATTGCACCTGGCGCATTAGCCTGCCACAGATGCCCGTTAAAGTTATTATTTCATCAACCAGGCTTTGCTTTTGAGGAAGCATTTTCATTCTGTTGATAAAGCAAAATAAGCTGGGTGGGAAATGCATTGACCCAGCTCTGCATTTGCAGCTCCCTCTGTGGCAGCACCACCCCTTAAAGGGCAAAACCTCTTCATTTTAAAGGATTAGATAACATGCAGCCATCATTTACTCATGGAGAGCAGCGGCCACATCCTATCAGCCAGATGTGTCTTGTTATCAGCATTTTATTTCTTGGGGGGGGGTGGTGGTGGTGTGTAAGCACACAGTGGGGTTTTCTCTTCTCCACAGCAACACCTTGCTCTGATGTCTGAGCCAGGGGCATCGCCTGCTCTGGCAAGCACACCCCTCCCTCCCACTCTGTTTTTCCACGGGTTTGAGTCACTGCGGGCACCCCCAGTCCCCTCATCAGGTGGGGATGTGTCCCTGCCCCTGTGCTTGGGCCTCTCGCACATGAGTAACAGCCTGGCGCCAGCACCTGTGGTTGCCACAGCTCTTTGAGGGCCTGGCTTTCCACCCTCAGGGACACAACCTGACCGTCTGTGAGTGCCCTCTTCCCAAACCCCTGTGACAGAGACTGCCTGGCAGCGCTGCGACCGACTGCCCTTATTTCTCTCGAATATCCGTTCAGTGTCAAAGCAATTTTCTTTGTTTATTGTGCACAGGACAAAGACAACGTTGTTCCTCTCCCCCCATTTCTTTTATAAGCTTCCCTCAGTCTTCCTTTCTAGGAAAACAATGGTGCTG